GGTCTGATATAAGAGATGTATTCACTCTATTTAGCTTAAAATGATGAAGGATTGGTAGTTGAGTTTTCCCATAAGCATATGAGTAAACCTTAGCTTTTCATTGTATTTCATATAGCCATGCTTCCTCAAAATGTATATTCCTCCAAGCACTCTTCACGGGATCCGATATCTGCTGATGATTATCATGGCGACGTTTCAAATCTCTTCCACAGCCGAGTGCCAGCGTGTCATAAGGCAAATGCAGCATCCAAAGCAAGCTTTTTGATTAAGTAGACATGTAAATACGTTGCTCACTTTCGATGTAGGTAGTTTTAAGATCATCACTGAGTCTTCAACGGGAAATAGCTCATCGAAAGTGGATAAACTTTAAGCTTAGTAAATACTAATGCGAAAAATTCTCATCTTTTAGAACTTAAATCACCTTAAGTGGCTTAGTGGGACTACGTTCTAATGGAAGAATTACTAATCGTCTCGAAAACAACTTATATCGAAAATAAAAAACTTCATCGGGTACCTTGGCAAAACATATGTTTGCTTTATCAGCAATCCCACCAAACTTGCGATTTCAGTGAGTTATGACTTGCCTTAAATGTCACACTTGTCCTGTGATCCTCTCTAAATGATGGCCGTGTAGTGCAGTAGTATGTCGATATGAAACTCACGTCCATCTATCAAACCCCGTTAGTGATAGCTTAATCGTAGGTATAAAGCGCAAAGTTATGCGGTCTTATACTGTGAAAACACATGGAAAAGGACGAGGATGGACCACATCGGGATTCATATTTAAAGAACTTTTATGAACCGAAAAGTTGAAAAAGGCAGAGTTAGTGATAAACTTGTCTATTGCTTATGTAAACTCGGAGTACAAAACATGCGACAAGACCAGTCAAAGGAAGATGCCTGGATCAAGAACCTATTGTTAACCAGAGGAATAGGGATCCTAAGGAAGAAATGGGCGGGAAAGATTAGCAAATCAAGATATGTTTACATTGAGCGTAGTATGCTGGATACAACAACTATAACTTTAGGGGCATGGCAGTCACACAAAAAAGGAGACAGTTAATCACAACCGTCATAGGAATTTGCCAGTATAGCTAGTAGCTCGGAGCCAAAGTGACTGGAAATCCACTCCAGATACATACAAACGTGCACAGTTTGCTCAGGTTACAGGGTTGCAATCGTAGAGATGGCCCGTGGAGGCAATGCCTGATATTTGCAAGCATGAAAATCAGAGCCTAGCCGCTCTGCTCTCACGTGCTAGCAAAAGCTTGTAGTAAACCATGTGGCAGCTGGTGTGAAAATTATACGTTTTTTAAGAGGTTGTTCGACCTTGTTTTCGCAACATGGTCATATTGGTAGGAAGACTTATTGGAACGCACCTAGTCCTGGGTTCATCGTCTGCATGATCATTTCCAAAGTTGAACCGTGGACGTGGTACATTCCCAGACGTTTCGCCGGCATCGTAGTCGGCATCGTCAGTGAGTATCGCAATCCTAAGCACCATACAGCAACTCGTAAAAGAGACAAGGGAAGCCGATCCTTTGACCAGACTTGTGCTAAACAATTGTGGTATCTCCCTTTCTGCCCTGCGTTATTCGCATTTCCGGTTGCATCCTATCCTGCTTTCACTATTACAATTTTTACCGGAAACGCGAATAACCCAGGGCAGAAGAGGAGATACCACAATTGTTTAGCACACGTTTGGTCAAAGGATCGGCTTCACTTGTCTTTTTGACGAGTTGTT